GGGACGGTGTGAACCGTTTATAAAATTTTTTATCCGTTCTTTTCCTTGCAAATTGCTGATGACTTATCATCAAGACTATTTACTTTATAAATGTTTATTTGAGTTGCTAGTGAATACTGCAAGAATTTTTTTGGCCTACCCTAGTTCGGATGGTTTTTTGTATTCTCGATAATGAATAATGATCGGTAGACCGCCCGCCCGCATGCATTCACGAAGATTGTCCTGAAATCTCATTTGGAGTGACCTACTAAAAAAGTAATGCAACCAACTTCACGTCGTATTGACGTCAATACGTACGACATCTAGTTGGTTGTATTGCTTTTTTCGTAGGTCACTGCAAATGAGATTTCTGGCAGTTCCGTCCGGACAATCTTCGTGACGTCATTTACATATGAGATATTGGTGAATTAAGTAAGTTAAGTTGTTTATCTTTGTTATCATGATACGAAATGGTTATCCAGGGTGAACGAAAAATTTGTTTATAAACTTGAAATTATTTTTCTAGAAATCTAGCCTGAATCATTAGACGTTTTGTTTTCTAATGTTTTGATAAGAATAGACATGCAGGAGTACATTAAGAATAGACATTAAGCTGGCAGCTTAATCATAGACAACTTCAACGCAATCTCCTCAACAGCTTGTTTATAACTATGTCTATGCCCAATGTTTTTCAAAAAAATCTTGTCTGAATCACCAGAAGTTTCTTTTAAAAAAAAGGTCGTCATGTTTAGATTATAAAATGAGCGTCACATTAAGATTAGATTTGGGTTAGAGTTCAGAGTTGGCGTTAGATTTATAGGGTTAGGGTTTGTATGAATAAATTCGGACATGTTTAACATTTTACTCATATGATAAATTCAAAGGTAGAGCTCATGCTGTCTGGACAGATGTGAACTTTCCGGCTGTGGTACAATGCTGTTAATTCACAATTTCTCCACTTAACTCATTGAAAAGCACAACTTTTAGGCAACTGCTGTGCACTATTCTGTATTTTCACATTACAATATAACATCTGTTCTACATCTGTGAAAAATTTGGTTAAGTGAAGGCGGTTATGCTAATTTATATCCTATTTTTCCCGCGCTAAGCGGTGAGGGTCCCTTAAATTGCAAGTACATGCCCTGAAATATAAGGGGCTGCTGAAGGGATCAAATGGCGACTAGCCATATTCATAGATTTTGTTTCCTATATTATTAATTTCCTATATTATTAGGTTGCTGGAATAGCGGTGATTTTACCGATTTGGAAAACGTTTGAGAAATCTGGGTGTATTTCCATACATATTTGTGAAAACATTGACTAAAAGGACGACAAGGTCGACTGAACTGATAGGCTGATTAATCAAATTACAGGATATTAGCACAGTTGCCATGCAGTTGCCGAATGCACCAGCTTCAATTATGTTCAATAAATAGGTTTACCGATCTGTACATATGAACTTTGGTTGTATGCTAAGAGTATAAGGCAATGGCCAATATATAAGTAATTTCCTATGCTCAAAATGTAATTGTACACTGCACAGAACATTAGGTTCTTTTGAAATTGTATGAGTGAGTGATAAATGGTTGCTGATTAATTTTGTACTCATCGTTATACGACATGACAGAGTGAGCTTATTACTACATTTGTATGCATGTTGTGTGCTAATAATGTAAAGCAATGCTCTTGCGGGCCAATATAAGATTAATTTGCAATGCTTAAAATGTAATGTGCACGATACAGAACATTAGTTTCTTTTGAAATCACATAAGCGTTGACAAATGCACTCATTGCGACGATTCTAATCGAGTCATTTATTAAAACCTATTCAATTGAGCTTCTAAACCGTGACAAATAGTTAACTGTTTTCCAATCTACTATGCAGAAATTAAATGCGCCAATTTTCTGCAAGCTCAGACTGTATATGTGAAAGAAACACTATTCCGCGAATGTAATCTATTTTGTAACCAATAAAGCAAGATAGTCGGTTACCACTATCAGACCTCTGCAGCACCTCAGTTTACATTTTTGATCGTCTCGACCGTCTTACCGGCAAGGATCTTAAAATTTTGGCGCGCTTTGTTTAGCGCGGGAAACAAGGCAATCATTAAAATTAGGATAATTTTGAATTCTAAATCCCCGCGCTCGAACGAGACCAACATCGTCCAAGAATTTTGGTCCAACAATGTTTGACGATAATGGATGAGGATTTTAAATAAAGTTAAGCCAGCATTACCCAACACAGCGTTCAAACGAGGCCAACAATGTTGCATGCAACAATGTTACAGATCAGATGACGTTGGACCAACATGTTGGCCTTGTAGATTTCCCACAGATGTACAATTAACGATAGTAATATATATTGTAATGTGAATATATGTACTGCAGCTACATAGCCACATTCTTGGACATAATTGGTGGGGTCTGCCTTTCCCTGCATCTCTATAGCTGCAAAATTCCCATTGATAAATTTCATGTAAAATCATGCTACACTCACTATATTGAGCTGGCAGTAAAAACTACAAAACGTTCAGTTTCGCGGACGTTCCGCATTGTTCACAGCATCGAACTGGAGGAGACGGGGGCACGAAGTTTGTTTCCTCAATGTACATGAACTTTGCAGTTTTGAGAGGAATGGTCTCAAGCGTGATCTCAAGATTGCAGTTTGAGTATCTGTGCCATGAACTGAACTCATCTGACTTTATTAAACTTGACAGCCCTATCACATCTTGACTGTTCTCTATAGAGGCAGTGTCATTACAGGGGGAAACTAGAGAGCACTCAGAGGATGCATACCTCAGCCAGCGACATGCATAAATTATACAATGGGATAATTACGCATTAAATTTCCTCTGCCCAAGACAAGACAAACTTTCGCAAATTTCTCGTATAATTTTCATTCAAATATAACCAAAATTTATTCCATTTGTCCTTGGGATTTTCATTAGTCCTACAAATTTTTGTACTAATTAATACATTTCATATCTTTTACGTTATCGTGCTGACAGGCGAACAAACCGCACAAACACACATATCTACAAACTCGGATGAACAAAAAATAAACTCCTGCCGGAGGTAAGCATACAGCCATCTGAATGCATGAAAAAACCTGTGATGTTATAGTACTTAGCCTAAATAGTGTTAATTAATCGGACAAATTAATGCATAATGAAGGAATCGAAACTTGGCTGGTACGTTCCGGAGATGAGATTCATAAACCACTCACTGCCATTGGGCCACTGTAGCTTATAAATTCTAGTATTGCACACTCAATCACTCGCTCAAACATGTGCTTTGCAAATGTCAAATGTTGTTTTATTTTTTTTTTGCACGATTTTGCAAGAAAGGGGATATTGCCCTTCTCTTCAGTTCTCACATCAACTATTAAACATTATTTAAATTAAAGAGCTCATTCTACCGTATCGCCTGTTGACTGTAAAAGTAATTAGATAACACATAAAAATTCTAATATCTTTCCTAATGAGAACACCAAGGTAGGAACCACCGAAGCAATTCAAATGAATTCATTCAATATACATAAAATTTTCGACCAACGGTTTTGCAACACGAAATATCAAAATTTGTGCAAATAGTCTGTTTAATATAATTCAACCACTGGCAATACATATATCTGCATGCAAAGTATTGCATTAGACGCTTCGCGTAAGACATAAGTGGTTTTCCTTATAATTGGTTTCTTTGGTTCTGTTCAGCAAAGTGGCCAAGTGGCAAGTGACGGGGAGTGGTTATAAAACGGAGGGGGTATTACCTTGAAACACAAGGGCGAGGGTTGCCCAAAATCTGAATTTAACAGGACTTTTTGCGTAAAAGCTAACTGATTTTGAAGGAGAAACTATATAGTGGCGCAGTATATGTACTGTGTTTCCATTGCAGAACGGCTACATAAATCCGTATTATAAAGTAATTTGAGAAAAATGTGCTTTCAATTGCAGGAAATGATATTAAAGAGTCGTGGAGATCTAACATTCCCCCTGGGAGATCAAGGTTGTATGCACTCTACTCTAACGTTTATAAGGCACGTGGCTTCAGTACCTTTGCATGCGAATTAAGACTTAAGAGTTCGATACCTGTAGCCACACTGTCTGATAAGAACAGTGCTTCCAGTTTGATTTTAGCTACCCTGTAGTAATCTTGGGCTATGAAGGGATGCCCCTTACTGGACCTACATAGGCAGAACAATTTAGAACTGTTATAGCTATCGATATAAAAAATAAGTAATTTAGTAAGTAAGTAAGTAAGTAAGTAAGCAAGCAAGCAAGCAAGCAAGCAAGCAAGGCATGCCGGGATGTGCTAATCATCCTTACTTGCAGCTGAGAGCGAAGCTGAATTGCGAAGGATGCAGCTCAACCTGCAAGAGTTGAAGACTTTCTAAGGGAGCCTCTGGCAGCAACCTTATGACTTATGTCTAATGACAGAACACAAAGGAAGAGGAAGGGTAGGGGCTAATCCCAACCCACCCTGTCAACATATGCCGTGTGGGAGGAAACCGGAGCTAAGACACACGACTTTCGGTAGAGCGTTCGGTCGTTAATAATAATAATAATAATACAGTTTTAGGAGCATCCTACAGAGTCTCGGTGCTCTTACAAGGATCAAATCTTATAATTGACTGACTCTTGACTGACTCTTTTCACATATTAAGTGTCATGTGTCCGCAGCGAGAATCGAACCCACGATCTCAGGCCGGTGAAAGTCGAAACCTGAACTCTGACGAGTTCAGGTTTCAGGTTTGCTCGTGCGACCTTACTTGATCTCAGAAACGTAGCTGATATAGAGCTAGTATACAACACACTGTCTATTGTCGAACGCATGTGATGCAACATTACTGAGGTATACATAAGTATTGAAGCTTAATTAAACAAATAATAAGATACAAGCTAGATCATGCTACTAGTGGAGTTCCGTCATACGATGATGTGAAACAAAGATGTTTATAAGCTTAGTAAGTGGGTGGACTGCTAATCACCGAGATGTTTGTTATTGTGCTATTGTGATTCTAATTAGATTTTGAAATCGCCGCCTTCACACCGCCCACACTCAACTCGCTTTGCATGAGTAAGGGCATCAGAGTTCGAGACAGATTCCATTCCGACAGCAAGGTCTAGATATCGAAAGCCACTTCAAATGTCTTGCTTAGCTTTCCTTAATATGCCTAAAGAAGCTGACTGCTGGTATGCGCTTCAAGCTTGCCTTGGGCATGTGTTACTTTATCTTTATAGGACTGAAAACTCGTCAGTGCATGTAAATATAGGTTTTTCTCTGTATTACTAAATTAAAAAAACAATCTTTCCACATAAGCTTTCATTACTGCCAACATGGTCACCATTTTATTGCTTTAAATTCCCAAGAGATATTGGTTGCAATCCATGCACGCTTAAATTGTGGATGTGGTATACAGGGTGTATAAAATAAAACGCAACCTCGGAATTTCCCAAGAAATCGACATGGTTTTAAAGACAAAAGATTTTAGGCGCCTGGGAATTTAAAATAGCACAACTGTCAAAATTATTGCACACGTACGCGAGTGCATAAAGTAAAATTTATGCATTTATTTAATGCACAACAACAGTAATATGATCTATTAGCAATTCGATTTCAATTCCCACGGGCCTAAAATCTTTTATGCTTAAGAATTGCAAAGTGATTTCTTAGGAAATTCCGAGGTTGCGTTTTTTTTTATACACCCTGTATATAAAACGTTTGTGAGAACATGTAAATTTCCAATCAATATCACTGCATGAGTCTTTGCATGCACGCTTTTCAACAAGTTCAGTCAGTTGGAACGAACAGGGTAAATACTTTGTTATTATAGCGGTCGCTACCCCTGTGAAAAAAGTGTGCCAAGACCAACGAAACATTGTCGGCCGTGCATTTTGTGATGCTGTTCAGTGCAGGAAAGCTTACGTATTTTGACCATTTGCTTGATCAAGTTTCTACTACTGAGCAATATATACTCAATATGTCCAAAATTATTTTATGTTTAAATTTTCAAAAATAGATATATATGCCTATTGATAGAAGGGTTTCATGAAAAGAGTTTTTTCCAATTGCAAACAAGAGCAATTGTAATATCTCACTTCGGTTACATGCATATGTATAATTGCAGGGAAGGGTCAATTTATCACATAATTGGGACACCTACTTGAGGACGTACCCTGCTGAGTCGTGCCGCCCCTGCAATGAGTTACCGAGGCTTTAAACATCGTGGCAACAAGCGTATTCTTCAATATTTGCGTATATAGGGCTACTTTAAATATTAGTCCGTATGTTGTGACCTCGAAAAGTGCCTAGAAAAAGATTTTCATTAAGCATGTCTTAGATCTGAAATATTTTTACGGGAACTAACACTTTCGAACACGCTGATTTCAAATCCGAAAAGTTCCCACTCCGTAGACCAGCAGTTTTTTCACAAAATGCTATTTTATCTTCACTAATTTCACAACAAATTTTTTCATTGTTCAACGACACGGATCGATGACGATACACGATTATGTCACTCAAAAGGACCAATTTCTATTAACCATTCTTCCTTTAAACAAAAGACCGGTTTTGCTCGAATCATTCTGAGTTATGCAATCTTATGCGTGTTGGACGTAAACAACATATCTTGTCTACAACTTTGGGAAGGTACAGATAATTCCTTCTAAAATCCTTAGTTCTGGATCTATCTCTATAAAATCACAAGGACGTTAATGTCAAGTCTTTGTGCTATGTCTCTGGGATGAGAAATAATTCCTTACATGCGATCAAAATGTTTTATACAAAGATATAAAACGGTAATCGATATGTAATGGATCAGCATTGAAATTTCCAACACGGTTTCCAAGACGTAATTCAAGAGATAACTTATCATTACATTTGAACTATTACATGAGTTGGTGTTATACTGTGCGATAAGCGAGTATTATTGGAAAGAGGGCTTCTATATACGTCGAAATCATCAAATAAACAGCTCATGTAAACATTTCTCCACTTCGCGGTAAGTTTACAGAGCATATTTTATACTTTGTGACTGATCTTTGTCTTTGATGTGAACATTTATTCTTATAGTTTAAGGTTATTTAAGATTGATCCTGTCGTAAGTCTTCTACCTGCAACCATTCGACAATATTTCGTTTTAGCGTTGTCTTTGCCGTTACGTTGGCTTCGCGTTACTTTTGTTTTAAATATCTTGATCGCGTTAAAAGAGTTATTTTTCAGGCCAGTGACATAGCTAAAAGACTTGATATTAATATCCTTGTGATTTTATAGAGATATCTCTAGAACTGAGGATTTTAGAAAGCGTTATCTGTACCTTCTCAAAGTTGTAGACAAGATATGTTGTTTACGTCCAACACGCATAAGATTGCATAACTCAAAATGATTCGAGCAAAACCGATCTTTTGTTAGAAGGAAGAATGTTTAATAGAAATTGGTCCTTTCGAGTGACATAATCGTGTATCGTCATCGATCCGTATCGTTGAACAATGAAAAAAATTGTTGTGAAATTAGTGAAGATGAAATAGCCTTTTGTGAAAAAACTGCGGGTCTACGGAGTGGGAACTTTTCGGATTTGAACTCAGCGTGTTCGAAAGTGTTAGTTCCCGCAAAAATATTTCAGATCTAAGACATGCTTAATGAAAGTGAACGATATCGGGTCACAACACACGGACTACTTGTAATGTTGTTGGAATGACCAGCCGCGTGTTCTTCAACAGTATACCTGCTGATGGAAAGCGTATAGGAAAGCGTACACTTACTATTTGCACAATCTTCATCTGAACCATCACCACAGTCTTCAATTCCGTCACACTTCAACGTTATGTTTATACATGCACTTCTGTCGTGACACCTGAACATTTGATCCACATGACGGCAGTGAGTCACTGAAATATGAAACAATATGGCATGTTTCTTATTTCGTACACTTCTCGTATATTCCACCTTCGCCACTGGAATGCATTTGTCTACCATTTCTTTCACTCGTTTGTCCATATTTGGGTACCAGATCTTTTCGCGTAGCAGGCTTTTCGTTTTATCAATTCCCTGATGCCTGATATGACCTAATTGTGTTGCTCTTTCTTGTAATGTTGTTGGAATGACCAGCTGTGTGTTCTACAACAGTATACCTGCTGATGCATTGTACGTAAATTTGTCGGCGCAAAGTCTAAACGGTTAGGAAAGCGTATAGGAAAGCGTGCACTTACCATTTGCACAATCTTCATCTGAACCATCACCACAGTCTTCAATTCCGTCACACTTCAACGACAAGTTTATGCATGCACTTCTGTCGTGACACATGAACATGTGATCCACATGACGGCAGTGAGTCACTGAAATATGAAACAATATGGCATGTTTCTTATCTCGTACACTTCTTACAAATTAGAAAGAGATGTACCTTACAGCCTGTTCTGCAGTGCCAGGCTCGCTTTACATATTTTAGACAGAATTTAGCAGTTGCTAAGCTCAAGTTAACATATATGATTGTCGATGCATTACTTTGATGGAAAAGAACTTCTTCCGCAGGGAAGTCTTCTGGCCATCTGTCATTGAGTAGAAGTTACGTTCTTGAACTTCGAAGATCAAGTCCATGTTTTACAAGTCCATGTTTTACAAGTCCATGTTTTACAAGTCCATGTTTTACAAGTCCATGTTTTACAAGTCCATTCCCAAAGGTTTAGCATATGTTTCAAATTATTTCCCATTAAATGGCGGTCCATTGTCAGTTTTTATTTTTGATGGTATTCCCACATCTGGCAAAAATCGTATCTAATTTTGGTATGCAAGTTTTTGCTTCGGTTGAGTTGACTATTTCTACCTCTGGGAATTTTGAGCAGGTATCGATAACCACTAGCAAGTATTGACCAGTTCGGTGTACTGGAAGAAGTCTATTGCACTCATACAATAAAGCAAATGAACTGGTGGTACTAAAACAGGCTTTTCGTTTTATCAATTCCCTGATGCCTGATATGACCTAATTGTGTTGCTCTTTCTTGTAATGTTGTTGGAATGACCAGCCGTGTGTTCTACAACAGTATACGTGCTGATGCATTGTACGTACGTTTGTCGGCGCAAAGTCTAAACGGTTAGGAAAGCGTATAGGAAAGCGTGCACTTACTATTTGCACAATCTTCATCTGAACCATCACCACAGTCTTCAATTCCGTCACACTTCAACGATAAGTTTATACATGCACTTCTGTCGTGACACATGAACATGTGATCCACATGACGGCAGTGAGTCACTGAAATATGAAACAATATGGCATGTTTCTTATCTCGTACACTTCTTACAAATTAGAAAGAGATGTACCTTACAGCCTGTTCTGCAGTGCCTGGCTCGCTTTACATATTTTAGACAGAATTTATCAGTTGCTAAGCCCAAGTTAACATATATGGTTGTCGATATTTGCATATTACATGGTCATTAAAATGTGATTAACCCGCCCACCCCATGTGTATACAATTTCTTTATTTCGCCATGGCCAAGCGAAAAACAAGGGAACATATTTTCGTTATGGCTAGTATACGTTGTGGATTTTGCGATATATATTTAGTCATGACTACAGTCTTAATAGTTATTGTTTTATTGTTTTATTGTTTTAACAGCTTTATTGAACGATGTTCAAACGGCAAGAGTGCGAACGGGACTCGACACCCATGCGAGGCACTCTCCCTCTTGAATTTAGTCATGACTATAGTCTTAATGGTCACGATTGTAGTCTTAATAATCATGACTATAGTCTTAATAGTCATGACTATAGTCTTAATAGTCATGACTATGGTCTTAATAGTCATGACTATAGTCTTAATGGCCATGACTATAGTCTTAATGGTCACGATTGTAGTCTTAATAATCATGACTATAGTCTTAATGGTCATGGTCGAGCAAAACCGATCTTTTGTTAGAAGGAAGAATGTTTAATAGAAATTGGTCCTTTTGAGTGACATAATCGTGTATCGTCATCGATCCGTATCGTTGAACAATGACAAAAATTGTTGTGAAGTTAGTGAAGATGAAATAGCCTTTTGTGAAAAAACTGCGGGTCTACGGAGTGGGAACTTTTCGGATTTGAACTCAGCGTGTTCGAAAGTGTTAGTTCCCGCAAAAATATTTCAGATCTAAGACATGCTTAATGAAAGTGAACGATATCGGGTCACAACACACGGACTACTTGTAATGTTGTTGGAATGACCAGCCGCGTGTTCTTCAACAGTATACCTGCTGATGCATTGTACGTACGTTTGTCGGCGCAAAGTCTAAACGGTTAGGAAAGCGTATAGGAAAGCGTACACTTACTATTTGCACAATCTTCATCTGAACCATCACCACAGTCTTCAATTCCGTCACACTTCAACGTTATGTTTATACATGCACTTCTGTCGTGACACCTGAACATTTGATCCACATGACGGCAGTGAGTCACTGAAATATGAAACAATATGGCATGTTTCTTATTTCGTACACTTCTCGTATATTCCACCTTCGCCACTGGAATGCATTTGTCTACCATTTCTTTCACTCGTTTGTCCATATTTGGGTACCAGATCTTTTCGCGTAGCAGGCTTTTCGTTTTATCAATTCCCTGATGCCTGATATGACCTAATTGTGTTGCTCTTTCTTGTAATGTTGTTGGAATGACCAGCTGTGTGTTCTACAACAGTATACCTGCTGATGCATTGTACGTAAATTTGTCGGCGCAAAGTCTAAACGGTTAGGAAAGCGTATAGGAAAGCGTGCACTTACCATTTGCACAATCTTCATCTGAACCATCACCACAGTCTTCAATTCCGTCACACTTCAACGACAAGTTTATACATGCACTTCTGTCGTGACACATGAACATGTGATCCACATGACGGCAGTGAGTCACTGAAATATGAAACAATATGGCATGTTTCTTATCTCGTACACTTCTTACAAATTAGAAAGAGATGTACCTTACAGCCTGTTCTGCAGTGCCAGGCTCGCTTTACATATTTTAGACAGAATTTAGCAGTTGCTAAGCTCAAGTTAACATATATGATTGTCGATATTTGCATATTACATAGTCATTAAAAAGTGATTAACCCGCCCACCCCATGTGGATTTTTTATTTCGCCATGGCCAGGCGAAAAACATTGGCTGCTTGACGTTCAGCGACGGCGCTTGCGGACGATCCCATTTCAGGTCGAAAGGGAACGTTTGTCGATGATACTCCTGGATGAAAGAGAACGCTTGCCAATGTCATTGCAGGTCGTAAGGGAACACTTGCCGACGTTATTACAGGGCGAAAGGGAACGCTTGGTGACGCCATTGTAGGCAGAAATGAAACACTTGACGATGACGTCATTGTAGGCCGAAATGGAACACTTGACGATGACGCCATTGTAGGCTGAAATGGAACGCTTGACGATGACGCCATTGTAGGCTGAAATAGGACGCTTGACGATGACGCCATTGTAGGCTGAAATGGAACGCTTGACAATGACGCCATTGTAGTGCTGAAAGAAAACGCTTAACGGCGCCATCGAAGGCCAAAAGGTACGACTTGCCAATGTTACTTCACGATGAAAGCCAGCGCTTGTCGATGTTACACCAGTCTGGAAGCACGTGAAGTGAACAACACGACTTGCAACAACGGACATTCCTTCGGTTGGTGTTGTATTGGCGGCTCCTTTTCTCTTTCGTGTCACGTCGACTTAATTCCTTTATTCTGCGGCATGTTGATGTTGGTAATAGTAATCAAGTTCGGGACGCGTTTCTGCTTCTTGAACCGTGCCAGAAATTCTTTCAGGCGCTCTATATTTTCAGATACGGCCAAGGTATGCGAGCACAAACTATATGTTGACCAATTCACACACGCTTTGTCACACGTCACCTTGCCGCTTTTTGGATATACGATCACTCTGTGCGGGTTCTCGGATGAGGTGCTGTGAACCACGAAGGCCGGTTTATCTTGGGTGTCTGTCGTAGGCATCTTCCAGATATAAGAAGGGCTGTTTACCAAAGTGGCAGCTTTGCCAAACATTCCTGTGAAAATAGGAAATGGGACGCCGATAATCCCCGATTCTTCTGGACTTGTTGATAAGGCTTTCGTATCGTTTGGTCGCTTGGTATGGGCACTTGGTGTTTCCATTACTTTGATGGAAAAGAACTTCTTCCGCAGGGAAGTCTTCTGGCCATCTGTCATTGAGTAGAAGTTACGTTCTTGAACTTCGAAGATCAAGTCCATGTTTTACAAGTCCATGTTTTACAAGTCCATGTTTTACAAGTCCATGTTTTACAAGTCCATGTTTTACAAGTCCATTCCCAAAGGTTTAGCATATGTTTCAAATTATTTCCCATTAAATGGCGGTCCATTGTCAGTTTTTATTTTTGATGGTATTCCCACATCTGGCAAAAATCGTATCTAATTTTGGTATGCAAGTTTTTGCTTCGGTTGAGTTGACTATTTCTACCTCTGGGAATTTTGAGCAGGTATCGATAACCACTAGCAAGTATTGACCAGTTCGGTGTACTGGAAGAAGTCTATTGCACTCATACAATAAAGCAAATGAACTGGTGGTACTAAAACAGGCTTTTCGTTTTATCAATTCCCTGATGCCTGATATGACCTAATTGTGTTGCTCTTTCTTGTAATGTTGTTGGAATGACCAGCCGTGTGTTCTACAACAGTATACGTGCTGATGCATTGTACGTACGTTTGTCGGCGCAAAGTCTAAACGGTTAGGAAAGCGTATAGGAAAGCGTGCACTTACTATTTGCACAATCTTCATCTGAACCATCACCACAGTCTTCAATTCCGTCACACTTCAACGATAAGTTTATACATGCACTTCTGTCGTGACACATGAACATGTGATCCACATGACGGCAGTGAGTCACTGAAATATGAAACAATATGGCATGTTTCTTATCTCGTACACTTCTTACAAATTAGAAAGAGATGTACCTTACAGCCTGTTCTGCAGTGCCTGGCTCGCTTTACATATTTTAGACAGAATTTATCAGTTGCTAAGCCCAAGTTAACATATATGGTTGTCGATATTTGCATATTACATGGTCATTAAAATGTGATTAACCCGCCCACCCCATGTGTATACAATTTCTTTATTTCGCCATGGCCAAGCGAAAAACAAGGGAACATATTTTCGTTATGGCTAGTATACGTTGTGGATTTTGCGATATATATTTAGTCATGACTACAGTCTTAATAGTTATTGTTTTATTGTTTTATTGTTTTAACAGCTTTATTGAACGATGTTCAAACGGCAAGAGTGCGAACGGGACTCGACACCCATGCGAGGCACTCTCCCTCTTGAATTTAGTCATGACTATAGTCTTAATGGTCACGATTGTAGTCTTAATAATCATGACTATAGTCTTAATAGTCATGACTATAGTCTTAATAGTCATGACTATGGTCTTAATAGTCATGACTATAGTCTTAATGGCCATGACTATAGTCTTAATGGTCACGATTGTAGTCTTAATAATCATGACTATAGTCTTAATGGTCATGACTATAGTCTTAATAGTCATGACTATAGTCTTAATTAATGGCCATGACTATAGTCTTAATGTTCATGAGTATAGTCTTAATGACCATGACTATAGTCTTAATGGTCATGACTATAGTCTTAATAGTCACGATTGTAGTCTTAATGTTCATGACTATAGTCTTAATGTTCATGACTATAGTCTTAATAGTCATGACTATAGTCTTAATAGTCATGACTATAGTCTTAATGGCCATGACTATAGTCTTAATGGTCATGACTATAGTCTTAATAGTCACGATTGTAGTCTTAATGTTCATGACTATAGTCTTATTGTTCATGACTATAGTCTTAATAGTCATGACTATAGTCTTAATAGTCATGACTATAGTCTTAATGGCCATGACTATAGTTTTAATGGTCATGACTATAGTCTTAATAGTCACGATTGTAGTCTTAATGTTCATGACTATAGTCTTAATAGTCATGACTTTTGTCTTAATAGTCATGACTATAGTCTTAATGGCCATGACTATGGTCTTAATGGTCATGACTATAGTCTTAGTAGTCACGATTGTAGTCTTAATGTTCATGACTATAGTCTTAATAGTCATGACTATAGTCTTAATAGTCATGAGTATAGTCTTAATGTTCACGACTATAGTCTTAATAGCCATATCGACCACGCATGCAGTTCCCATGGTAAAGAGTAAACTGCCTTGTGGCGACAGTGCGTGCTGGATCTGCAAAACAACTTGTTACTTATGATCAACTAGAATTAAATAACTCCCTTGCCTGCCATGGTTTAGTTGTTCGGTTAGGTTGTTGGGAAACCGATACAGTCTAGAACTCCTCAATAGTTCACGCCAAACGGCATCAAACTTGGTTTATTGAGATTGCAATATTTGGTAAGCAAATATACTGAACACATGTCAAAACACATAACATAGTCTTAATTTACACGTATTGTGATATAGAACAATTGCAATTTGCGTGTTATGATGTCTGATATATAATACTCATTGTCCTGTGTCGATGTTATTGACTGAGTCAATTTGTCCATAAAAACAACATTTCAGCAATATGACAATGTATGACAATACCATCTTAGTCTTACAAGCAAAAGACCAAACCTGTGCCAAAACCCTGCACATATTCACATATGTCATATAGTTAAAGAAGTAAATCATAGGGAACGATCAAAGCATTAAATTGATCAAAAATTCCAAAATCATAGGGAACGATCAAAAATTGCTAAATCATGGATATAGCTGCTAACATTTAGTATAGAGAAACAAAGCATACTCCATTAAATATGGGATTTGCAAAGACGAACATATTCAAACGATCGACACTAATTTCTAAACAAGTAAACTACATGTAGATGCATGAAAGCTAAAAGAAGTAGGACGTAAAATGCCACCTCGCCGTGTACGAAAGAAACACATGATATTGTAGGGTCGCGGTGGTGGTAAGGAACTGTGGGTGCAGGTTGTTGTCAAAGCAATTAGCAGATAAAATGATTGGAAAAGATGCCCTAATGTGTTCAGGAGGGCGTTCAATCGGGCTTCAACATTGCTCTGTTCCACTGACTCTTTGAAAGCAGCATTGAAATTTAATAATTTATATATAAACAAATAAAAGCACGTTACAAATTGCATTTATGTTAAGCATATAGTAAGATTCACAATGACCATGTTGTCATCCATTTCGCCTTGCTTTACGTTACATGACATTTTAAAACTGTATGCAAATATTCAGTACTTACAATTGCATTCAAACAATTCTGTGCGCTATACAGTATTTTACAATAGCTATAGAAATTAAAGACATCACATGGAGACAAGTAATTATCATATGGCTAACACGTCAGAAGAGGATCAGCGTCCAATAAGAATCACCAATTTTGCGTAGGTTGAGTCACGACAATGATATTAATATGTGCTTCCGTGCAGGTCAACTAATAGTCATGACTATAGTCTTAATAGTCATGACTATAGTCTTAATAGTCATGACTATAGTCTTAATAATCATGACTATAGTCTTAATGGTCATGACTAATTAACAATTAGACAACGAGGCCGAGTTGTCTATGAGCGAATAGTCAACGAGGCGAAGCCGAGTTGACTATTTGCTCATAGACAACGAGGCCGAGTTGTCTAATTGTTTTAGTATAAACTTTCACATTAATTTACAACTAGGCTGCAAACACAATACAAAAATACACAAAAAACATTATAAAACCATTAAAGGTAAACAAATATTTTAGTTTTTGTTCGCGTAAAATGTTTTACAAAATTCAATTTTAATTTTAAAATTTCATTGAGTGTATGTTTTGTCTATTTTCTTACCCTTAAAAATTGCCATTCCATATTTTTGTTGCTTTTTTCGCGGTTTTTTAGTACAGAATTGTTCAACAAGTCGTCCAAAAAATCATCAGACACTTCGGCAAAAGTGCAAAACGCGAATTTTCCGCCATTTTGAATTTTCTATTAGTAGGCTATCACTAATAGCCTACTAGTAGCGTAGCCAATCAGAAGGCGCGATATGTGATAGCATACTAGTGGGTTTATACTAAAGTCTTAATAGTCTTGATTATAGTCTTGACTATAGTCTTAATAGTCATGACTATAATCTTAATGGTCATGACTATAGTTTTAATGGTCATGTCGCTTGAGGGACGATATCATAACTGTCCCCCGTTTGTTTTGCTCACTTGTGACATGATATCGTCCCTCAAGCGACATGACCATTAAGACTATAGTCATGACCATTAAATGGGCAGTGTCACCAATTTTTGACCAAAAATGTTATTTATTCAAAGTCTGACCTGCGAATTTGAAAATAAACATTATAAATAGGTTCAGTTATGATATACGAATCGTATTAATTAAACAACTTTGAACTTCCACGCAGCATGTAAGACGACGTTTTCATACAAATGACCTAAACTTGAAAAAGTGTCCGCCAACAATTAATCAAGATGTCAATTACAATCCATCTCAATCCTCGCCTAATCTCAACCATCCAGACTTCTGTACATGCCTTTTGTATTTTTTATTGTTTTATGTTGTACTTACAACCATTCTTTTTAGATTTTTTGGAAGATTCCTAAAGATTTGCGAGGTTCAAAATCGGTGACACTGCCCCTTTAAGACTGCAATCGTGACTATTAAGACTATACAGGGTGTATAAAAAAAACTGAACAGATTTGAAATTGCTCTCAATTTCGTAAAACACCTATTTGTATCCGGTTTTTTATATATATATATATAGCTTCTTCAGGTACTTATAATGTAGAATAATGAAAAAAATTTCTCAAACTCAAATTTTGTGAACCGGGGGGGGGGGGGGTCTTTTCCAACAAACTAAAAATGGCTCGCGCACAAAATTTAAAAGTTCTAATCATATTGGAAACTTTGTTGGGTTTTTAATTACAGTACAAAATTTCAGACAATTTGGTTTAGTTTAAGCTCTTTAACTATTCATTTTATTCTAAAAAATCAGCCTTTCGCATGCTTAATTAATGCCTTTACCTAATTTGCATATTGCTAACATATGCAAATTAGGCAAAGGCATTAATTAAGCATGTAAATAGCTGATTTTTAGGAAAAATGTAAATTTGCGCGAATAGTTAAAGGGCTTAAACTTAACCAAATTGTCTGAAATTTTGTCCAGTAATTAAAAACCCGACCAATTTTCCATCTATTAACACAAAATATGATTACAACTTTTAAATTTTGTGCGCGAGCCATTTTTAATTTGTTGGAAAAGACCCGCCCCCTGGTTCACAAAATTTGACTTCAAGAAATTTTTTTCATTATTCTACATTATAAGTACCCAAGGAAGCTATATATATAAAAAACGGATACAAATAGGTGATTTGCGAAATTGAGACCAATTTCAAATCTGTTCAGTTTTTTTTTATACACCCCATGTAGTCATAACTATGAGCTATTTAGAGTGACTCCGCGCTATTGAGAACTCGGCTTCGAGCTATTTAGAGTGGCTCCAAGCCTGTCGAGTTTGGCTTCGAATATCATGTGCATACAATATCTTAGGATGTCAATATCTTAGGATAACAATGCAGTACCTTAAGATATCATACAGTATCTTAGGATATCATTATCGTAGGATATCATGCAGTATCTTAGGATATCATGCAGTATCTTAGGACAACATACATTATCTTAAGATATTATACAGTATCTTAGGATATCATACAATATCTTAGGATCCTCCTGCTGCGGTAGTGATCTTTGCTTTAACGCGTAGGTAACTGCTTGTTAAGTCAGTATAAACTCCAGAATTTGCAGCACATAAAAATTCTATCGGCTCCCGAGCTATTTAGAATGGCTTTGAGCTATCGAGCTCGGCTCCGAGCTATTTAGAGTGGCTCCGAGCCTATCGAACTCGGCTCCGAACTATTTAGACTCGATATTTCCAGCTAGGCTCCGAGCTGCATAGAAGTTTTCCCACCCGCCAAAAAGAGCGCCTGCATTTTAAATCTTGCGAGCTAGGGTCGAACCAACGATCTAAGGAACTACAGTCCTCCGCTCTACAAAAGACACCTAAACGATACGGCTCTTAGAAATAGACTGTACTAAATCTTGTAAAACGTTTTGAAGAAATAAATGTGTTTTAAATCTAAATTCTTGTGCAAGTTTATGCCCGCAAAGCCACGCGCCCGATATTAAGGTCTACGCCAGCGTAATCAATAATTCCTTTCTATCCATAATAAACAATTAAGAAATTAAATTTTAGCTTGTAATCCGTTAACGACTGTTAATGGATTACAAGCTATATATGTATATATTTCATAATTTCCAGTCTTAAATCCGTCTGACCGTGTAGCTCAGTTGGTAGAGCGTCGATCTAGTAATTCGAAGGTCGCGGGTTCAAGATCCAGCCGCGGCAGACAACATCTTTCTGCTTGCGCTGGTATGGAAATTATATAATACACACTCTAGAACACTTTCATCTTAACATATTACAGAGTGTACAATTACACAACTAATACATATATATATACATATACATATACATATACATATACATATACATATACATATACATATACATATACATATACATATACATATACATATACATATACATATACATATACATATACATATACATATACATATATATATATATATATATATATATATATATATATATATATATATATTAATAATTCAGGAGCAAAACACAAAGAAAAATCATAAGCGTGTCGTGGTTTTATATGTGATAAAAAATCAAGTTAATTTACATAAACTTTAGCTTTGATTTTCTCGGTTTAGACAAAGTTTATTTTAAAAATTACTTCGCTAATGTACTCATCAGAAGATGGATCGTTTTTTAAGCCATTTAAAGCACTCGTAGTCGTGTTTTATCACATATAAAACACTCCGCTACGCGTCGTGTTTTATATGTGATAAAACACTCCTACTCGTGCTTTAAATAGTACATTAGCGAAGTAATTTTTAAAATAAACCTTGTTTAAACCGAGAAAATCAAAGCTAAAGTTTATGTAAATTAATGTAAGTTTATGAAATAAAATTTTTTATCACATATAAAACCACGACACGTTTATGATTTTTCTTTGTGTTTTGCTCCTGAATTATTAATGAGTTTTTAATTTAAGTACTGTTTAATAAACGAGCAGGAGTGTTTTATTAGGTTTAAAGACACGAGCGCGCAGCGCGAGTGGCTTTAGACCTAATAAAACACGACCTGCGAGTTTATTAAACGGCTTCAAATATGACTATACAAATTCAATAGATATATCACCTTATTAGTATTCTTTATTATAAAAAATACTAATGAGGACACGACAACAATAGATACTGCCTTATTAGTATTCTTTATATAAAGAATACTAATTAGGAGTGTTTTATCAGGTTTAAAGCCACTGCACGTGGCATGTTATAGTTGACATGATTTGCCAATAAGCTTATGCATTATTAATGAGTGTTTGAAATATATATAATTTCGCTTACCTCAAAATTCCGCAACAGTCTGTTTCATCAGTTAAGAATCAATTCCGCAAAGTCTGTTTCATCAGTAAAGAATCATACCAGGATACCGCCTGATGGTTCTTTACTGATGAAACAGACTGTTGCGGAATTTTGAGGTAAGCGAAATTCTACATTTGCTCTATCTTTATGTTATTAAGCACTCTTTACACCTACTCATATATATATATATATATATATATATATATATATATATATATATATATATATATATATATATATATATATATATATATATATATATATATATATATATATATATATATATATATATATATATATATATATATACTTAAGTTTTTGGTTTACGAAACACAGTGCTCAATACCATATAGATAGAGCGTAATATAGTTTTTCGTTTTACCTCAAAAAACCACAACAGTCTGTTTCATCCGTATAGGAATCATCAGGTGGTCTGTTGTTATAACGGAATGCAATTATTGTCTACGCTTGTTAAATTAGATTATAACTTGCATATGACCAATACGAAATGACGCCATGATGACGTCATGGGTGGTGCTCAGTGCACCACCCGCTCCAGAACCCCACTTTGTATACAACTATCATACGAAGGCTAATAAAGAACAAGAAAGAAAGCAGGTAGGAAAGCGTATACTTACCCTCACAATCTTCATCTGAATCATCAACACAGTCTTTAATTCCGTCACACTTGTACGTTATGTTTATACATGCACTCCTGTCGTGACACATGAATATTTGATCCACATTACCGCAGTGAGTCACTGAAATATGAAACAATTTGGCATGTTTTTTTATCTCGTACACTTCTTACAAATTAGAAAGATATGCACCTTACAGCCTGTTCTGCAGTGCCAGGCTCGCTTTACATATTATTTTCAAATCATTTCAAGAGTGTATTTGGGGTTCTTGCATTTAGTGCTTATTAATGAGTTATTATGAAAGTTTTATATATGCGGGCTAGCCCGAATGGAAATAAGAAAACTGCGTATATTGGGAGAGATGCAGGAAATTGACTATTAACTTCCCGACGTCTTCGCTGGAAACGTCGAAGTTCTGTTTGTATATTTTCAGGTAGTTGTATCTCTCCGCAGCTTTCTTGTCATCGTCACTCACTCATACAGACCATGCAAATAATATAGTTGAAAAATAGGTACGCACTGCGTACATGTGGCTAGCCTATTCAGCCTGTCGAATACAGCTGGAGTTCACATTGTCATAAACATTCATCAAAAACATTCATTGTGATACAAAATTAATAATA